AACGAAACACCACAGCAATATTGTTGGATACTAAGAATGAAACATATAGTGTTCGTTGTAAAGACCCTGTTTGTGATAATAAAATATTGATTTGGAAAAAAATCGAATAAAAATATTCTTTGTTTCATTAATAAGAGAAGATATAGAAAAGTAATTTTTAAACTTAAATATTAAAATAAAGCATTTTTATTTTCAAAGACAGATCTTATAACGTAGATGTTTATAATGACTTGGACTATTCACAATAGAAAATTTAGGAAATTAGATTTTTGATAATTTTATAGAATAATTAATCAAAGGAAAAAAAATGCTTCGTTATTCATACTAATGAATTTCTCGTTATCTAATGGTTTTTCGCGCTGAAAATGTTATGATTGAGATATATTTTTTTCTTTAAAGTATTATCATAAAATCATTGATCTTATTATATTGTATACGATGCAATAGGAGAATGTTCTCAAAATTCAACAAAAACTAAGAGTTTTCTGCCAATAGTATGCGGCAACGAAACTTGTCAAAAGCTCGTGACAATGAAATAAATGTTGAAAATGTACTGGATCGTCCATTTAAATTATTACTCGAAGTGTTAAATAGTTTTAAATTGTTAAATGATACTGATCCAGCTGGTTTGTTATGATCTTTATTTGCTTCAGTTGGTCACTTTGCTGGTGAGTCGACGACTGTGAGAATACGAAATCATACTAGGAATTTAAATATTTTTTTATTACTAATTGGTCCATCTGGTATGGGTTCTTTTAGTTGAGTGAAATTTGTTTAAAAAAATTTTTTAGGCAGTGGAAAGACGAAAATTATTGCGCCAATAAAGAATAGTATTATAAATACCATCAAATCCTTGGGTATATCAGAAGATCAAAGTACTATTGTGGATGATTTTACTACAGCTTCATTGTCAGCTAAATTGGCAAAATCGAACGTTTTTATTGTTACTGATGAAGCCGAAAAGCCACTATTAGAAATGGGCTTCTATTCACCATCATCTGAAATTAGTGCTAATGATCGTATATCCGGCTGTAAATATTATGGTAGCATACCAACTAGCAAGGACACAATGACGTATCACTTAGAGATCAGTTCTCATTTATCGTTTGTTGGTGCAACAACAGGTCGACTTTGGCACCGTCTCATCAACTATTATGCTCAAGGACATCAAAGTGACGGATTGTCAGAACGGTCAGTTTTTTAAAATTTTTCAATCATATTCATTATTTTTTCTTACGACCAGCAAACGTAAATGACTCATGACTTGAAATAATTCTAAAAATAAATCTACACATGATAATAACAATTAGTTAAGAATTAATTTTCACGATAAGAAAAAAAAACGTGTCTCGATATTTTATTCACCTAAAAGTGTTTATGATATTCAACAAAGATTTGCATTGAATAAATAAATTATAAGATAGAATAAAGTAATGTAAACTACATATAACGGTAAGAACATGAAGTGCAATGTAAGTATGAGATGAAAAAAAAAATTGTTTGAATTCATGAACATTTACGTTTATTTAACGTTTTGCATTGTAAAAATTTGTTAATATTCATTTTCTCAATGCTCTCAAACGTTCTAAATGTGCATAAGTTTTATTTTTTATTTGTTTTATAGTATGTTGTATTTTTTATCTCTAGATATATATAACATACTGTTTCATTAAACTATATGTTAATGAGATTTT